TTCTGACGAAGGGGCTGTGCCCCGAAACGTATCTTTACAACATGTATCTATTCATTTGAAGTTTAATAAAATTTATTTTCTATTTGAAGCTTTATATAAATGAAGTTTTTTGGGAGGCTAGTGATATTTATATATAGAGAGAGAGAGAGAGAGAGAGAGAGAGAGAGAGAGATAGAGAGAGAGAGAGAGAGAGAGAGAGAGAGAGAGATAGAGAGAGAGATAGAGAGAGAGATAGAGAGAGAGATAGAGAGAGAGATAGAGAGAGAGATATAGAGATATAGAGATATAGAGATATAGAGATATGTAGATGTAGATAAATATAGATATATATATAAGTACGGTAGAGCATCGTTCTAGAAATGCGAAGGTCGCGGGTTCGAATCCCAGCCGCGGTCAAGTAGAATTTTCTGCTTGTGCGGTTTGGTATGCACTCGTCTGAAAACAACTCAAAAACCGATATATATATATATATATATATATATATATATATATATATATATATATATATATATATATATATATATAATAGATATATATATAGATATAGATATAGATAGATATATATAATTTAGAGTTATCAGTTATAAACCGACTGTCGAGGTTTATAACTAACTTATATCACATTTGTGGAGGTTTTCTAACATATTTTGTCATTTTCAAACATTTTTGATGAAACATTCTCGCGTTTTGTCGAAAAGTTTGTTGTAATTATTTATTAAAGGTATATTAGCTAGTTATAAACCTCGGACGATCAAAGAAAACCGACACAAATGTGATATAAATATATATATTTGCCTGCCGCGGCTGAGTTTTGGACCCGCGACCTTATAGAATTACCAGATCGATTGTCTATACCAAGTGAGCTACACGGGTAGGACGGATTGAAGACTGGAAATTATGAAATATATGCTGAATGCCATAAATATACTCGTTTATATTAATGATCGTCATATCATATAACCATGACTACCACTGTACGCGTGCCAGCGTTCAGTCAGCGGTTGGCTACTTGGAAATACTTCACGTTAAAGCAATGTCAATATTTGGAAAATACAATTGTATGGTTAGAAAGGTGAGGGTCTCTGCATAAATGTATTTCTAGTTATTAGAAAAGCTTTCCGTTAGAGACCGTCTTTTAGTTTAGCATAGGTTCTCATGCCAAGCGGATAACGCGAATTTTTAATTCGATTTTTTAGATTTGACATCAGTCAGTGTACTATTTGTAAGAATCCTCTGCAAGATCCTGTGCAAATGCCATGTGAGCATATATGCTGTATGCCTTGTGGAAATCGTTGGTTTAAGGAACATAACGCATGTCCCGTATGCAGGAGAGAAGTTGGTGGCAATTTCAAAATTATAATCAGTAAAAAATGCAGGTACAGTTAAAAATAAATTATTTTTGTTGATATAGTATATAGTTGAAGTGGATCACTGGATATTATTCTAATTCGCTTCTTTTTTTTCAATACGATTATTAACTTTCATAGTGTATTCATTTCTAACCCATGCTTTGAATGCGATTTCAGTTTTTGTGGTTCAATAGATAATTTTCATGGTTTTGGGTTAATTTAAAATAAAATAGTACCTGAAATAAAAAGTCAATATAAAAAATATTGGCCCGACACTGAAAGGATTATTTTGAAAAATAAGATTTATTTAATGCAGGATTAATAATATCCGTGGGAAAGTTTCAAATGATGATTGGCTAATGTAATACAGCGGCGAAAAATGTAATTCGAAAGTGAAATGCATGTAATTCAATGTAGTTTTTTAATTTTTGTTTAATTTGTACGAAAAGCATAACAGAAAATTAAAGTTCTTACTCTTAGTAATCGTCGCAGATTTTTTGGTCTGTCTAATTCAGCGAATCGAATTGTACGTACAGTTGGTTCGAAAACATTTGTTTCGTTTTACAAATATTGACTAACATTTTTTGGCTGCATGTAAAATACAACTTGTCTTTTATCTACATTAATGCTCTCTGGCACATACATTATCCATGACATGCAATTAATTAAAAAGACCAAGTTATAGTACAGTTTTCTACCCTTACAAAAATTTCACATAACATTTCATATATGAAAATTTCATATATGAAATCGTTATATGGAATTGAAACAAATTTCATATTATGAAATATTTCATATATGAAATATTTCATATATGAAATTTTCATACCGGGTGGCCCAAAAAAAAGTACTCCTGTTTGATTCGTAATAACTTCTAAACAAGTAAAGTTTTTAAAGAGAAATAACTTGCATTAAATAGAGGAAGGACTAACTTAGATTTTGATATATTACAGTTGTATTTAACTTAAAAATTCACGGAGATATTAATGTTAAAAATGGGGAGCATATTTTGGAATGTGTCTAAAATTAGCGAAAATCGGCATATCAAATATTAACTCCAGCGTTTGCTTGCTTAATGACATATTAGGCTAACTTGTATTTCAGCGAATTATCGTTAAGGTTTGTAAGGGATATGGCGTAGATTTAGACATCTTACATGTAAGTCTTAGCTCATTGTTTCCTGAAATATGAACGTTCGAAATTATGCAAGTATTTACTATTAGGTCTTTGCAAACTTAAATGTACATGAAAGACTGACCATGGAAGGCAGGCGCTTAAATTTTTCGTATTCTTAAATAGCCTAATTTTTTATGTTTTTAATGGGTTCAAACAGACTGAGTAGATTATTTCTCGGTTAGAGCAGGATGAATATTCTTTATTGAAGGAAATAATATTGCTTTTTGCAAATACACATCACCGTATCAACGCTACTATTTTGTTACGTTTTGTTCCAAAAATGTTGCATGTTTCTGGGGAGTTGCTTAATTGTTATGTCTTATGGAGTTGTATGGTTTGATTGTGTTTCATATAATTCTCAGTTTACTCCATGAACTTGCCAAGATTAAGAAACGGTAAAAGAGTTTGGGTGTTCTTAACAAGATTTCAGAACGTTGCAGAAGTTAGAAGAGC